TCCACGCGGTGTCAGAAGCCAACGTTGAACCTGTCATGACACGAACCTGCCGTATCCCTTTGGCTGTCCTGTGCGTCGTCGCCCCCGCCACCCCTTCCGCGCGGACCGAGACGGCGCCGGACGGACCATCCCTGAGGGGCCGCCGTCCCGCCACCGATTCGGGAGCCTCTTCCCCCGCGCGCGCGCGTAAAGTCGTCGGCGCTCGCCCGCGCCTTTCGCTCCTTCCCTCCCTCCCCGTGCGCCTCCCCCGCTGCCGCCTCCGGCCTCGCCCTGCCCCCCTGCGCCTGTCCCCTGCCCCCCCCTCCCTCTCCCTCTCCCTCTCCCTCTCCCTCTCCCTCTCCCTCTCCCCCCCTCCCCCTCCCTCTCCCTCTCCCTCCCCCTCCCTCTCTCCCTCCCTGCGTCCCCCTCTCCCGCTCCTGTGCTCCGGCGCGTCCCGCCGCTGCTCGACCGCCGTCTGATCCTCCTTGAGGCCGCTGATCATGAAGTCCCTGCCCTGGCATCGCTCGGACGTGTGCATTTTTTTTCTCGGCGAGAGCCATTGTCGGAGGGCACCAACTATACACCAACACCGATCCTGGCCCAGGATCACCCTGGGCCCAGGATCGGTGTATATGCCTTCTTGCGCAAGGCAGGAGGGCGTATACACCGATCCTGGGCCAGGGTGATCCTGGCCAGGATCGGTGTTGGTGTATAGTTGGTGCCTTCCTACATTGAGGACGATCCTGGACCATCGAGCAACAAAAACACACGCGCGACACCGAAGAATCAATGCACGGGGAAGGGGCGTCCGAGCGATGGCGAGCCTGCTGAGGCCAGGGGCTCCCGGTTGACGGGGATCAGCGGGGCGACCTCCCCGGCCCGCGACCAGAAGCCCACCCCACAGCGGCCCAAACCAGTGGCTTTCGTTCGGCCCGCGAGCGCGGCGTGGTGTCTGGCGGCAGGCAGGTGGGAATGGTCATGGCTGGGTGAAAATCGGAACGGCAGCTGGGGTCGTGGGGAGAGATCAATGCAGTTGGTAGGCACAGGTATCTATGCCTCCCAGATGGGGTGAGAGTTGATGGTGTCGGAGGGTTTTCGCCGCATCGCCGATGCATCGGCGATGCGGCTCCATGTGGAACCCGATTTTCTCCACGCCGGCGTCGCCGATGCACCGCCAACGTCGCCGATGCATTGTCGACGCATCGGCGATGCATTTGCGATGCGGCGCGATCCTCCGACCTCACTCGGACTTCATCTGGGAGGCCTCTAAGGTAGCAGGTTACCTTACCTCTATGTACCTGAGGTGCATAGGGGTAGGGTAACTAGGGCCAGGGGAAGTAGGTAGGACCGCGGGAGGAAACGTCGCAGGGGAAAGGGGGGTTTTCTGTTGTGTGGAGGGCGCCCCCCTTGTCTTAAGCTCCCGTCGTCTTGATTTTTTCCTGGCACAGCTTCTCATTTTTAGTATATATCAGATTGACGTAGCCCCTTCACTTGCAGATGAAAGTGGGGCGGCGGTGGAGTCAGTTGTCGGCAGTCAGCGAGGCTTTGAAGCAGCCCGCCGCAGGCGCCGATGTTAGAGCACATTGCGCAACGAGCCCGCCGCATGCGCCGAATTTGCTTCAGATCAATGGGTCGCGAGAGTGTCGCGGGTGAGTCGCGGGGTGGGTCGCGGGGTGGGTCGCGGGGTGGCTCGCGGGGTGGGTCGCGGGCGAGGACGACGACGACGACGAGGACGAGGACGAGGACGAGGACGAGGACGAGGACGACGATAACGACAACGACGACAAAAACAGCAACACTCGTTTTAAGACAGTTCGCTCTGATCTGCTCGCATGCCATTCAACACGTGTATCCCAAACTCTCGATACCCGCCATCTTCGTCTTCGATCGTACCCTCCTTGAAGATATACCCTTTTTACCTGCCGCGTGTAGTTGGCGCAGTTGCTAAAACAGGGGAGGGAAGGGAGGAGGGAAGAGACAAGGGGCAGGCATAATAATGGAGCACGAGAAACATTTACAGGAGGAGGGTTTGGGAACAGGAGTGCAAGCGGCAAAACCAAACGGGCGGGTCGGACGGGCGGGCCCGAATAGGCAGGTCGGGCGGGCGGGCCCAGACGGCTGGGTCGAGCGGGCGGGTCGTTGAATCGTCAATCCAACATGAGCCGCAAGGACGTTTCGAGTGATAGCGCGATTCCTGAGTAAATTGAGGAAATCCAAGGCGAGAGCCTGATTCCTGAGTCTAGGGGGCACTGCGCGGCAATACATTGTGCTGGAATACTACGCGAAGGCACGATTCCTGCATACACTCCGAGGAAGCCCCCCGCAAGAGTGCGAATTTGAAATTCATTGTGAGGAGGTCGCAGGCGCGAGCCGTTGATGTTGTTGCTGCTGCTGTTGTTGTTGCTGTGGTTATTGTTGTTGTTGTTGCCGTCGTTTTCGTGTCGTTTTTGTTTGTTGTTGTTGTCGTTGTTGAACCCTCACTATTGAAGAATAATTATCGTTGATCCCCCCATTCCGGTAACAAATATGGGTTTCTTTCATTTTGACCGTCTTGAAGCTGTCCTCTCCATTGCTCGTGCAAACATCCCACCCTCCCACCCGCAACTTGGTCGCAAGACCTCTTAAGACAAGACCGTGACGGTAGGTACCACATGACACTTGGCCACGACACCGACGCCGACGACGACAGCGACAACGACGACGACGGCGCCGCCGACACCGACTACGACGACACCGACGACGTCTCCAACGACTTCGACGACGACAACGACGACGACGACACCGACGACGACGACGACAACGCCGACGACGACGACGATGACAACGCCGACGCCGACGTCGACGACGACAAAGACAACGACGACGCCTTCGCCGACGACGACGACGAAGACGACGACGACGTCGCCAACGAAGACGACGACGAGGGAGGATGGAGGACGACCACGGCGACAACGACGACAACGACGACAACGACCAGGGAGGAAGGAGGACGGCGACGACGCGAACGACGAAGAAGGAGGAAGGACGGCGACACCGACGACGACAACGACGAGGGAGGAGGGAAGACGACGACGACAACGACGACGACGACGACGACGACGGCGACGAAATAGAAGGACGACGACGAGACGCCGACAACGGACGACGACGACGACGAGGGAGGAGGAGGAAGGACGACCACGGCGACAACGACGACGGAAACGACCACGACGCCAAAGAGGACGACGACGACGAACACGAGGAAAGACAGAGGACGACGTAGGCGACGACGACGACGACAAGGGAGGAGGGAGGACGGCGACGACGACGACGACGCAAGAGCGCGCGCATGCTTTTGTTGAAAATCCGTGTTGCGAAACCTTGTGTGTTTTTTTGTAGGTTTTTTGGACACGCGATTTTGAAATCCTTCCGAAGCCTATGGGTTTTGAAGGATTTTGGCATATGCGTGCGACGACGCGCGCGTCTGCACTTCGTCCCATTTTTTTGCAGAGGATTCTCGCGACGGCACACGCGCAAGGGCTTTCGGCAGATTTCGACATGCGCGCACCCGAAGCCCGTTTGGTAGCATTTTGAACAAATCTTGATAAACCTATGGTTTTCTTCAGATTTCGCAAGAGCTCGCGCGTAAGCTTTGTTATCAAATTAGTGTTGCGAAACCCTGTGTTTGTAGTTTTTTTGGAAACTCGATTGCGAAATCCTTCCGACACCGAAGGTTTTTGAAGGATTTCGGCATGCGCGCGCGACGGCGCGCGCGTGTACATTTCGTCCTTTTTTTTGCAAGGGATTCGTGAACAAGTGTTATGTTAGAACAAAAGATGTCCCCCGCGTATTGTTTTTAACAAGGGAACCTCAGGGGGGTCGATACCGGCCCCCCTGGGATAGTGTAAATTCACATTTCGGATGGACATGTGGTCATAATCAGATATGATTTACATACCCGGAAGGGGGGGCGATAACGCCGGGGGGGTGGGGGGGTAGAGTTTATTTTCTTTTCAGAAAAGAGAACCAATTGAAGTGCCCCTCCCGGGGTTCGCTGAGGTTTTATTGGGGTAAATCGTCCTGCTCAATTCCCGCAATTGTCCCCACAACTTATTCCCAAATCGCGCTCTCGCGAGGGAGGGACTACCTCATAGTTTAATGCAGAAATCACGCTTTCGCGTGGGACATCCTTGCTGTTTGTTCGGACGCCGCGCCCTCGGCACTCAGGAATCACGCTCTCGCTGTGGATTTCATCGAGATTTATTGGGGAATCGCGCTACCGCTCGAGGCTTCCTCGCGACCCATGCAGGACGCACGCTTTAGCAACCCGCATGCTCGACCTGGCCGTCTAGGCCCGCCTTCCCGGCCCGCCCGTTAGGGTCTACCCGCCCGATTTGCCCGTCTGGTCCTACCATGGGTTTTCTGCTCCTAGCCCCCTCCTGCTATTTTCGCTCGTGCTCAATTTTTTTCCTCCCCCTTGTCCCTTCCTTCCATCCGTCCTCTCTTTCCCTGCCTTAGGGGCTGCACGAATTACACACGTTGCAGGTAACCGAAGGGGGTACGATGGACGACGAAGAGGGCGGTTATCGAGGATTTGGGATATACGTGTTGAGTGGCACGTGAGCAGGGAAGAGCGAACAGTCTTAAACTGATTGTTGTAATTGTTGTTGTGGTTGTTGCTGTGACTTCCTTTCAATGTATGCAGGAATCGTGCTATCGCGTGGGACTTCCCCGCACTATATTCAGACGATGGGCCCTCGGCGCTCAGGAATCACGCTCTCGCTGTGGCCTTTCTCACGATGTACTTGGTTATCGCGTTATCGCTCGAGACTTCCACGCTATTCATGCAGGACCCACGCTTCAGCAACCCGCCTGCTCGACCTGGCCGCTTGGGCCCCCCGTCCCGACCCGCCCGCTATGTGTCTGCCCACCCGATCAGCCCGTCTGGTTCTTCCACTCGTTCTCTGCTGCTAGCCCCCCTCCTGCTAATTTCTCTCGTGCTCCATGCTTCTCCCTCCCCCTTCCACGCGTCCTCTCTTCCCCTGTTTTGGGGGCTGCGCTAAATGCACGTGGCAGGTGAGGAAGATATATCCACATGGGGGGTACGATCGAAGACGACGAGGGCGGGTACCGAGGGTTTGGGATATACGTATTGGGTGGCACGTGAGCAGATAGGAGCGAACAGTCTTAACATGATTGCTATTGTTGTAGTTTGTAAACCGGGGGCCAACAACACAGTTTGAGCACCAAGCCTTTCCCTGACAAAAACTGGGTGCGCGCCCCGGGAGGGGCATGTACATTGAAAACAGCAGGTGCACCAGAGGGAGGGGATCAATTTTAGTTATTCATTAGTTTGGAAGATGGAAAGGGGTGCGGTGTAAAGGGGTGCGGTGTGGACGCCCTGCATGCCCATAGAAACATCGATATGCATCTGCGACACATGCGGCCGAATCCAAAGCAATGCTGGCACCGCTGCTCCAAGTGGGCCACGGCAAGGTGGGAACGAATGCATGGGGGTATACGAACGACCGGATGGTAATTCAGAAACAGATGTGGACCTCTAGTGCGCCACATAAACGTGAATCATAAGCATTGGCATGATTGACGCAATCATCGCGTTGAGAAGGTGTTCCGCGCAAGCCCGCCGCCGGATCGCGGGAAACGCTCGGTGCCCCCAAAGGCTTGCGAATATGACCACCCCACGACTCGTCAAAATGCGAAAGACCCTCTTCCACCGATCCTTTCTGCTACACCGCTCCCCGCATAATTGCCCCACCGCTTTCCAAAGGAAGCATTAGTTCCTATGTGCCTTCCCCTGGCCACGCCACGCGCATGGGCGCGCGCGGCAAGCCTGAGCCACGCGACTCTGTCACGGGGGGCGAGACAGACGCTGGGAGTCCGCCCCCATCGTCGGATTCGTTTGAATGCGCTGAATGGAAAACGCGAACTGGACATGACGCCGAGCACAAGAATGCATGGCCGTGTAGAGCTAATAATCAGGCGCATCAGCACGCGCCCTTTTAATTTGCAGCCTGGCGACAAGCAGAGACCCCACACGCACCCCCTTCCCGACTTGCATGACCCACGAAAGAAAGTTTCACTCAGTCAGCCACTGGCCCAAGGAGCGCAGCGCGCGGAATATCATGTGTCACTGGTCGGGCTGTTTCGGCGAAGTTCCACAGGGAAGCGTGAGCGGTCGCATCGATGTTTCCTCGGGTCGGCCTAGCCAGGCGCAAGAGAACATGTGAATTGCGGTGTTGCGGCAAAGTGGCACGCAGCATGCGGGCGCGAATGGGCTGGGCAGGCATTGGGAACAGGGCGTGGGAAAACATAGGATTTTGCACGTTGCTCAAACGTCCGCCGAAAAGGGTCTTGGAGGTCAAAACGGGGCCCGCGGCGATTTCGATTTGGCGCCATGCCAAAACTGCGATGTAGGGCGGCCTCTGTTTCAACGCTCAACCTCCACCCCCCGCCCACGAAACAATCATCGTAACAGATGCGCTGAGCTGCGCTGCCCTGTAAAAACACAATGCGAGACATGTTTGGTGCGCCCCGTAATTTCCCTACATTTAATTGCGTGACTTCGCCACTCTGTTGTCTAAAGCGCCGACAGGTCTCTCAGACACACTTTCAGTATCTGCCTCCTCCACCACCAAGGTTTTCCCTGCATCCCCCATCTGCCGGCACCTGCCTACACTGCGATCGCACGCAACTGCGCATGCATATATCATGCTTTCGCCTATTAGAATCCGAATTATCAAAAACAAAGTTTCGGAACTTCCGAAATTTGAACAACGAAATTCCAGAATTTCCGAAATTTGAAACGAAATTCCGGGAATTCCGAAATTTGGAAAAAAACGAAATTCTGGAATTTCCGAAATTTCAAAACGGTTGGTTTTTCAGGGGAAACGAAATTCCGCAAAAATCCGAAATTTGGAACAACGAAATTTCGGACATTCCGAAATCTGAAAAACGAAATTCCGGAAATTCCGAAATTTCAACGCCAACCCTTCGAAATTCCTAAATTTGATAGCCAGACCCCTGGAACCTCAGAATCGCCAGAAGAGGTGGCCACCGCGCTACGCGCCTTCATGTCCAAGAGAAGCTCCGCCAAGGAACCACCAGGGAATTGAGAAGGAGCCTATCCAGATCCCCATGGGCGGCATCTCATCACGGATGCGCCCGCGGCGCCAAAATTTGCGTTCGAAGCAAGTTTTCCGTCGAGAGACCCGACCATATGGCTTCTGCAACTCCGCCGACGAGACATCGTCAAAGCTGGAGACCCCCATGGGCCCACGAGACGTTGTACGTGATTGGATACACGAATGCGACCGCAGCCACTGGGGCCTGCGGCGGAACCCCCCATGGGGCTACGAAGCGCTGCGCGGGATCTCCTCCTCCTCCTCCTCCTCCTCCTCCTCCTCCTCCTCCTCCTCATCCTCTCCTCCTCCTCCCCCTCTCCTCGTCGGTCTGTCCTCGTCCTCGCTCGTCCTTTCCTCGTCTCGTTCGTCGTCGTCGTCGTCGTCGTCGTTCGTCCTCCTCCTCCTCCTCCTCCTCCTCCTCCTCCTCCTCCTCCTCCTCCTCCTCCTCCTCCTCCCCCGCGCAGCAGCTCGTGGAGCAGCACCTCCTCCGGCAGGAGGGCCTGGCGCTGCCGCTCGACCTGCACCCGCAGGCCGTCGCGCGCGGCCGGAAGGCGCGCCGGGGTCGGGAGCTTTCGGGCCCCCAGTCGGCGACACTCTGGGGCAACGATTGGGGGAGGCGCACGTCTGTCGGGACCTCGCAAAGGGGGGGGGTGCCACAGGGAGGGGTGAGTTCGGTCCGTTGGCGCATCGAACCGCAGAAAGACGATGCAAAACGAGGTCTCCGGCCGCCGCCAGAACCCGAGAGGCGTCGACAATCGGGGCGCGCGAAGGGCATCTTTCTTCGGAAATTCGATGCACCAGCGGATCGAACTCCCCCCCCCCTCAGGGTCCCCCCTCTTTGGTGGGCCCCGAGCCTTCTGAATGGGGTATTTATCCAGGGGTGGTGGTGGTCGACTCTCCGACGGAGCTTGCACATCCCCCTCCGTTGCGCCAGGGTGTGGTTTGCGATCGGCGCCGTTGGTGCTTGGGGTGTCCCCACGCTGCGCCAAAGGTCTGACGAGCGCTCGTCGGGCGGGGCGCGGCAGAGGTCTATGTCAAGGTCCTCGCTCGTCCCCGCCACCCTAGGCGCGGTTTGGAAACCACACCCTTTGCAAAGACAGAGGGGATACGGTAGGTTTGCGTTCAAGTTGAAGCGATCCGCGCGGTGTCAGAAGCCAGTTCCGAAGTCGGCACGGCATGAACCTGCCGCACCCTGAATGGGATATTTGGCCATGGGGGGATTGGCCTTCCGACGGAGCTTGCCTATCCCCCCCACCGAACCTCCTCCTCCTCTTCCTCCGCCTCCTCCTCCTGCTCCTCCTCCTCCTCCTGCTCCTGCTCCTCCTCCTCCTCCTCCTCCTTCTCCTCCTCCTCCTCCTTCTCCTCCTCCTCACACTCCTCCATACCCCTCCCCACCCCTTCCGACAGAACGTGCCGAACCCCCTCGCCAGCCCTTGCCACGACTATGGGGCGACGATCTGGGGGGAGCGCAGGTTGGAATTGCGAGGGGGCAGGCCCTCTCGGAAGGCGGCGGGGATTCTGAGAAGCCCCCCTGGCCTCTTTAAGAAATCGCCTCTGTCTGTCTCCGGAGAAGGCTCAGAACATCGCTCTGAAAGCGCGAGGGCTTCCGAGAAGCCCCGCCGCCTCTCCGAAGGCATGCCCGCTCCCACTTCCCCCTGGGCTCGCCGCCAAGATGGTGGGGATGGGCCCAAGCTCCAGGTTTTCGGACGTTCTCGTTGGTCCTCAGCAGTTTTCCAGCCTCGGGGTGCTCTCCCGCGGCCGCGCTTCGTCGAGGGCCTTCCAGGGGTGCCCGGATCGCCCCGTGCGGCCAGTGGAGACCCGACCTGTGGCCGCAAAGCCAGGGGGCAACGCTAGGGGGGATAGGCTCCAGGGGAGGATTCATCGACCGCCACTCGCCCATTGATCGCCGATGTGGGGCCTGATGGCCCACCACCGCCCAGGAACGTGCGAACCCGCTTTCGGTGACCCATCGCCAGTCTCTCGGCGACGTGACGCCGATTCCAGGTCGATGTTTTCCCTCCCCCCGAGCCGTTTTCCCCTCTCTAGGGTTCCCCTTTACCTTGAGCAGGGCCGAGGGTCCGAGAGCGCCTTCCTCTGCAGGACCACCAAAAAGGGACGTCAAGGCGGTCAAACGCTTCGCCGGTTAAGCCGACGAAGATGAGCACAGTCCAGCCATTCGATTATGTTCATAGTTTTGGCTTGACGCCGGGTGTGGTGCATTAATTTCAGCTTGACCGATCAAGTTGGTTGCGTCCCTCGACGTCCGTGTGGGGTCTTCTGCAGACCTGACCCCCCAGCCCTACTCAACCCTTACCTTTGGTGCGTGGCTTTCGAGGAGCGCTGGGGGGGCTGAGCCGAAACACGCTGTCTGCCTGCCGCTGTTGTCGTACATACCGTGCAACGGTCGTTACGCCGCGCACCAAAAAGGTCACTCTTGCCCAGGGTCCCTCTTGAGGAGGAGGAGGAGGGGGAGGGGGGAGGGGGAGGGGGAGGGGGAGGAGGAGGAGGAGAGGAGGAGGAGGAGAGAGGAGGGCGGAGGAGGGAGGGAGGGAGGAGGAGGAGGAGAGGAGGAGGAGGAGATGAGGAGGAGGAGGAGGAGGAGGGGAGGAGGAGGAGGAGGAGGAGTAGGAGGAGGAGGGTGAGGGGGAGGGGGAGGGGTTGGTGAGGGGGGGAAGGGGGAGGGGGAGGGGGGGGGAGGATGAGAGGAGGAGGAGTAGGATGAGGAGGGAGGAGGATGGGAGGAGGAGGAGGATAGGAGGAGGAGGAGGGAGTAGGGAGGAGGAGGAGGGATGAGTAGGAGGAGGAGAGAGGAGGATAGTGGAGGAGGAGGAGGAGGAGGGGGGGGGGAGGGGGAGGAGGAGGAGGAGAGAGGGGAAGGGAGGAGGGGACGGAGGAGGAGGGAGGAGGAGGAGGAAGGGAGTAGATGAGGGGATAGGAGGGAGGAAGGAGGAGGATTAGGAGGATTAGGAGGCGGAGGAAGGCAGTAAGGATTGAGGAGAGAGGATGAGTAGGAGGAGGAGGAGGAGGAGGATGAGGGAGGAGGAGGAGTAGTAGGTATGAGGAGGAGGAGAGGAGAGGAGGAGGCGGAGGAGGAGGATGAGGAGGAGGAGTGAAGGAGGGAGAGGGAGGAGGAGGAGGGGGGAGGACGGAGGGAAAGGAGGAGGAGGGGGAGGAGAATAAGAGGGAGTAGGAGGAGGAGGAGGAGGAGGAGGAGGAGGAGGCGGAGGAGGAGGAGGAGGAGGAGGATGAGGAGGAGGAGGAGCGTGTGGCCGACAGACGGCGGTCCACCTGGCCCGCAGCACCAGGCTCGAAGATCAGGACCTGTGGCCAGGGATGCGGCGTCATGCATGAGCGCGTCGAGGATCGAGGTCTGTGGACGTCTTTGGTCCCTCCTTGGGCCTCCCGTGGAGCTGTCGTCGCCACGGCCGGCTAGACCCGCTTTGATGTTCTGGTCAAGGCGCTCTCCAGGAGAGGTCAGGGGGTCGTCTTGTTGACCCCCATGCCCAGAGCTTGGGCCACTCGTGCAGGAGTGGTGCCAGAGGTGTTCTGCCGCTGCGCGGCGTCTGGGGACCGTCTGCGGGCCCCGTGGCCGCCCACAGAAGACGGCTCGGGATGACGAATCGGTCCCTGGAAAGGGGTCGAGCAGCCGCGCCATTGCTGGGATACGGCTTTCCTTTATAGGAGAGAAATGAGCGTGCCATCGTCGTCACCGCCCTGTCGCGGCCAAGCAGCCTCACCGTCTAACATGGCCGACCCAAGCGACATCGGTCCAGGGGCCGGCGACTCGAAGAAGTCGAGTCGTCGCCGCCGGTGGCTCAGGATCGGCCAATATGGAAAGATCTGGCGATCGAGGAGCTGTGGATCTTTCAAGGGCGAGCACTCCACGTGGTTTCAGAAACCAGCGCGCAGGTTGTCACGACACGAATCCGCCGTACCCACTTGCGCTGCCGTTCGTAGCCGATATAGTGCTGCGGTGGGGGGAGAAGGCATGAGGTGGCTGGATAAGGAGGGTCCTTGGATCCGCCCCACCGGACATGTTTCGTTTCGGCATCCTCTCTCGTGTCGCTGAAGGCCCAATCAGCAAGGACGCGGATCGGCAACTTGACGTTTGTTGGACTCATGCGTCGGGGGCCTTCGTTTGATGCACCTCAGGGACCGAAGATGAGAAGTAATGTTCAGTCGGGCCTGTCCACCGACAGCAAGAAGATTCGAAACTAGTCAGAAAACAGTCAGGGATTTTTTCCTCACAATTTCAGAATACTTGTTTTTGTTAAAACATTTTTTCCGCCCAAAATCCGCCCGTAGGAGGACATGCCCGACCCAAAAGTACTGGAGTCCCGACGCACGCCAACAGCTGCACAGGGCGACGGCGGGCGTCAGCCTTCGGCTTCCCTCATGGTCTTCCCCTTTTCCTGTCCGCGCCTCAATCTGTTTCGTTGCGTCCTCCTCCTCCGCCTCCTCCTCCACAATTGCTCAATATGAATACTAACTCTCCCTCATTCCCCCTGATACGGTTTGAAAGTGCTTCGAACCCCCCCCCCCGCCCCGCCGCGTACTGTTTTTTTACCAGGATTCCCCCCGGAGTTGGGTTTCGCTGCATTTTTTTTTTCACTCCTCATCCTAACTGCTGCTCTCGCTGAGGCGCCGGCCTTATTTTCGGGCCCCGCTCGTTCCGAATCGTGCTCCCGCTGCAGCGCTGGCCTCATTTCTGTGCTTCCGCTCGTTCCGAATCGTGCTCCCGCTGCAGCGCTGGCCTCATTTCCGCGCTTCCGCTCGTTTCGACTCGTGCTCCCGCTGCAGCGCTGGCGTCATTTCCCGTGCCATGCCACGGCATGCACTGCAATGCTAGGTTGATGCTACGCTTTGCGGTGCTCTTCTACGCCATGCCATGCCGTGCTCTACAATGCATCGCGTACCCTTTCGGGATCATTGCCCTGCTCGACATCCGACTGTGCGAGTAGAGAGGGGATCTACGCCATGGTAAAGGATGGGAGGGAGTGGTAGGATGTCAGATATGACGCGAGCGCACCTAGCTTGTCCTCCCCCCCTCCCCCTCCTCCTCCTCCTCCTCCTTCTCCTCCTCCTCCCACCGTTGCCCTGCTTCGGCTTGGATCCACGTAGCCGCGGACACAAAAAATGTCAGCGTTCAGCGGGAGCCACCAGGGAAGAGCTTCCTGTGGCAGCGGGCGCATTCCATCTCCCTTTGGAGGAGGAGGAGGCGGATGAGGAAGAGGAGGAGGAGGGGGGAGGAGGAGGACCAGTGTAAACCCAAGAGTCATCAACGATGTTGGAATCAACCCTCCCTCCAAGCTCCCTCTTGATAGGCCCCTACAGCGGTTCATTTCCATGGAAGGAACTATTGCCTCTTTGGAAGACAACCGTTTGAAGACCCTGAAGCATGCCAAAACATTGTTCTCGGGATTCCAACGCCACGGATCAACCTGACTGTTGCGTCTTGACAATCCTGAGTCTTGCCAGAACACCATTCTTGAGACTTCAACACAGCGAATGAACCTAGCTGTTGCATCCGCATAATTCGGAATCCGTCTAAAACACAACTTCTGACACGTTGATGATGGGCATCCGTGAAACTCTTGCATTTTTTTTAAAACGAATGTGCACCACGCTAAGGCGAGAGTCACATTTTGAAAAGGAACCGCCCTCAATCCGTGAAGCGCTGGCAAATGTTTAAAATGAATGTGCGCAGCGCTTAGACGAGAGCCACATTTTGAAAACCACCCGCCCTCAATCCGTGAAGCTCTTGCATTTTTTCGCATGAATGTGCGGCGCGCTAAGGCGAGAGCCACATTTTGAAAACCAGCTGCCCTCCATCTGTGAAGCTGTTGCCAATTTTGAGCTTCAGAGTCATAAATGGTGAGGAAGTCTGAGGCGAAACGCCCGGCCCGCCCTAAAAACTTGCCTCCAATCGCGACAGGGAGAATTATTTTTAAGGACAAGGAATGGATGAGGAGGCGGAGGAGGAGGAGGAGGAGGAGGAGGAGGAGGAGGATCGCCTTTAGAGTTTTGCCGAATCCATGCAATTCCAAGAGTTTGTGCCCTGTGTGCCAGAGCTCTGCCAAAGCTTCAGTGATGAAGAGCCGCGGACTTGCTTGCTGGTCTCTCGTTCCTGCTTTGCTGGGCAGCCTCGGGATCCCTGGCCTCGGGATCCCTGGCCTGCATGGGCCCAGGCATTTCCGGTTGGCCTTTAAGTATCATGTTCTGAACGGCGACTATGTTGTGCATTTGTCGACCAGGGCTTTCTCGATCGGCCTCTGCTTAGCTTCTCTGGGTGACCAACCAATGGAATTCTTCACTTGACTGGATCCCAGTCCGCCTTGTGGACTCTTGTTTGAGCATGAATCTCGGGGTCTCGAACTCTGAGCTTGGCTAGGACACGGGTCGTTGGCGCATCTACCCTGGTGTTCTCATCTCTCACCTGAGGCCCTGGCCGAATATCATAACGAATGAAGACAGCGACAACACGATACCGGCGCAAGATCCCCCGATCGTCAAAGGGGTCACGCAGGGCAGCGAGGGCCACGAGAGTGAACGCCGACCCTCGTGGGCGACCCTGGGAAAGCCAATGCACAGGGCATCCAAGGCTGGGACCTGATGTGACGGGTCCCATTTGGCAACGTTGGCAAAAACGGCGCACATGGCAACTCAGGCCAAGAGCCCCTTGGCGGGCCACTATGAGCAACCACCAGACTGCGTTCAGGGCAGCTGCGGCACGGACCTTGCGAGCGGCGTCCTGTGGGCATCCTTTTGGGAATGTTGGCAACCAGGGCGACTCAGGCTGAGACCCTATGAGTGGGCTCCTGCGGCCAACCACCGGAAAACTGGGTCAAACAGTGTTTGAGGCCGGAACCCGCCAGGGTGGGCTTGTGTGCAGCCAACCAGAAGATCGGGACGCAGAGCAAGTGAAGCGAGGGCATGATGGGCGGGTACTGGTGGGCAACCATTGGAAAGTCTGTCCCATTTCTTTCTTCCCTACCCTCCCTTCGTTTCATGCCCCCTGTCCCACCCGTACGCCTCCTGTCCCTCTGTGAATGTGCACGCGCAGGCAAATCGCATGTACATAACAAAATGCAAGGATATGCACATGCAAGAGCACGGACCAGCGTGAATGTGTATCTGACGGCACGCGTAAGCGTAATGTGTGTGGTTGCCAATTGACATGCCGACGCGCATTTTGCATGCGCGTTCAAAGTGTCAACGGGAAGTCAATCCTGGTTCTAGAGGAAGACCCTTGATGTCATCTACACTGGCGTGCGTTGCACTGACCATCCTACCTACCTGCAGTTTACACGTACGTGCATCCAGATTGTAAGCTGAGAGCACATTCCCATTTTCTTTTGCTGTGCGCTCTTGATGTTCAGAGAAGATGAGAGACGAAGCGGGCAGAGGAGAGCGGACGAAGACGAACGCATGGGGTGCCGGAGCGGAGCCTCTGGAGCGGAAGGGGGCCAGAGCAGAAGCCATTGCCTTCCGCGATGAACCCTCGAGGGAAGCGGCCCACCTTTGAGTTCGAACGGCTGTATTCTAGTTCCCTTCGAGCCGCGTGACAGACAGGGAAGAAGGGAGGCGAGGTAGAAGTCGGGCGACGTGATCTACACATGTACACCGCCCCTGCCCTGGCCAGGGGTGTCGTGTACGCGGCGTGCTCCGGGAGGGGCCTCGCTGTCGAGGAGTCGAGGGAGCTGACATCTCTTCTCTGGCAGGAGCGGGTGAAAGGCCAACGGAAGCGGGCGGCAGCTGAAGTCGCCCCCCCAAGAGATTGCACGCATGTTTGGATCCAGCAGGGTTCAAGGCTTCTCAGAAAGCGAAGGCGCGGGGGCTTCTGAGAAGCCCTGCCGCCTTCTGTCAAGGCCTGCCCCCAGTCATTCCCCTGGGCTCGCCGACGATTCCAGAACCCGCCAATCATACATGCATATAGTGTAACGTGAATGTATGTATGTGCGCGTATATGCGAACGTCCACACACACATACATATATCTATATATATATGTGTGTATGCGTACAGATCTAGATCTCGTCGACCTACTGAGGTATGCGAAGGCGGCTGGATGCAAGGGGAGAGGATATTGCCCCGAGAGGCGCCCCCGATGCTCGTGTTCGACGTCTACGACGAGGCCCGGGGGCAAGAGTAGGCGAAGGGGCAGAAGCGGGAGGAATAGGATTATGAGGAGGAGGAGGAGGAGGAGGAGGAGGAGGAGGAGGAGGAGGAGGAGGAGAAGGGCCTAGCGACTGATTGTTCGAACGGACTCGCCATGCTGTCAGATGTTCGATGGGGGTTGTGGTGTGAGTGAGGGGCGTTAAACTTTATGATCCTAGCGTTTCGCGTTCCTGATGGCACGCCAGACGGACGCACGGCATCTCGCTTTCAGAGCGGGGCCATCGCCGAGAAAGCAGGCCCAGCTGCGCCAGTCTTGTAATGGGGGGCGCTGCTTGCGGTGGAGTGAAGACGAGTGGACAAGCCTCGGATCCTGCTGAATCGTCTGCTGATCAGCCCTCGCACCGTTAGCCTCGTTCTTCACGCTTCGCGCATCCCCACCAGCGCATTCACAAACCCTGCCCGTGAGAGTTGACGGGAAAAGGTACGACGAGACACACGCAGCAAAACAAAGCGGGCAACCAGGGTGAACAGCGAATTCTCTGGGAGCAAGGGGGTGGCCTCAGAGGGCCTCTGCGGGCCATCCCTGGGGCCCGCGTGGGGGCGAGGGGAGGAGGAGGAGGAGGAGGAGGAGGAGGAGGAGGAGGAGGAGGAGGAGGAGGAGGGAGGAGGAGGAGGGGGAAGACGATGACTACGACGACGACGATGAGGATAACCGAGGCGACGAGATAGAGGATGAAAAGGAAAACGAAGACGATGAGGGCAAGGACGAGGATGAGGACGAGCACGAGGAGGAGGAGGAGAAGGAGGAAGAGCTGGAGGAGGAGGAGGAGGAGGACAATGAGAACGAGAACATAGCACTCAAAATCGCCTCTTGGAGCCCTCTTGGGACTCTTTTGGGGGATCTTGGGGTCCTCTTGGGACTCTTGTGGTGGATCTTGGTGCCCTCTTGGGGTCCTCTTTGAGCCCTCTTGGCCTATTGGTGCCATCTTGGAGGCCATCGATCAAAGGGGGGGGGGCAATGTGCCTCCCCCCCAAGGTCCCTAAAAAGACATATTTTCATTGCGGGAAGTGTTCCGTTGGAGGACAACCGTCTGAAGATCTGCAACCATGCCAAAGCATCACTTTTTCTTTTTATTTTTTTTTTTTTTTGTTTTCTTTATTTTTTTTTTTTTTCTTGTGGTTTTTGTCTTTTTTTCTTTTTTTTTTTCCTTCTTTTTTTCTTTTTTTTTTTTTACTTTTTTTTCTTTATTTTTTTCTTTTTTTTTTCTCTTTTTTTTTTTTAGTTCTTATTCTCTTCTTATTTTGTTTTTTATTTTTTTTTTCTTTCTTGGGATTTTTTTCTTTTTTTTTTTTTTTTTTTTTTTTTTTTTTTTTTTTCTTTTTATCTTTTTTTCTTATTTGTCTTTTTGTTTTTTTTTTTTTTCTATTTTTTAGATTGTTTTTTTTTTTCTTGTTTTCCTTTTTTTTTCTTCTTTTTATCTTCTTGGGACTTAGTGCCAGAACACCCGTCCTGGGAGTTCAATGCCCCAAGTCAACGTGACTGTCGCGTCCTGACAATCCCAGCCCGTGTCAAGACACCGTTTACGGCAACGGGAATAATCTTTGAAATTGCTGTAAAAAGTTGAGACGAATGTGCGCGGCGCGAAGGCGGGAGCCACATTTTGAAAAGGAGCCGCCCTCCATCCGTGACGCTCTTGCGAACTTTTCAGACGAATGCGCGCGGCGCTAAGGCTAAGGCGAGAGCCACATTTTGAAAACGACCCGGCCTCCATCCGTGAAGTTCGCGCAAGGTTTTTCAAACGAGTGTGTGTGTGGCGCTAATGCGAGAGCCACATTTCGACAACTGCCCGCCCTCCATTTGTGAACCTCCTACAAACTTTCAAAATGAAGGTGCGCGGCGCTGAGGCAAGAGCTACGTTTTGAAAACGACATGCCCTCCATCCGTTTGCACATTCTCAGCTTCAGGGTCATAAGTGGTGAGGAGGTCTCAGGCGAAACACCCAGCCCGCCCTACCGACCCGTCTTGGGGTGCAACAGGGAGGAGCTACCTACCTATAAGGAAGGAAGGAGGATGGAGGAGGAGGAGGACGATCATCATCCTTTTTTTTGAGGAGGAGGAGGAGGAGGAGGAGGAGGAGGAGAGGAGGAGGAGGACGGAGGAGGATGAGGAGGCGGAGGCGGGAGGCGGAGGCGGAGGCGGAGGAGGAGCAGGAGGAGGCGGAGGAGGAGGAGGAGGAGGAGGAGGAGGAGGAAGGAGGAGGAGGAGGAGGAGGAGAGGAGGAGGAGAGGAGGGGGGAGGGGAGGGGGAGGGGGAGGGGGAGGGGGAGGGAGGAGGAGGGAGGAGGAGGAGGAGGAGGAGGAGGAGGAGGAGGAGGAGGAGGAGGAGGAGGAGGAGAGGAGAGAGAGAGAGAGAGAGATGAGAAAGAGAAGAGAAGATGAGAGAGAGAGAGAAAGAGAGAGAGAGAGAGAGAGAGAGAGAGAGAAGGGGGATGACGGGGAGGAGGAGAAGGAGGAGCAGGAGGAGGAGGGTGAGGGGGAGGACGGGGAAGAGGTGGATAGAGGAGGACGCGCTCTTTCTCCTAACGCTCCTGCGCTTTGCGCTCGTAGATCCGAGAGCGTCTCCAGTGTCAGGCGGCGCGCGCGCGCGGGTCGGCGATGGGCAACGGGACCTCGTCGCCCAGCGATGCCCCGGACGACCCGGCCGGCGCCCTCCGCGCCTCCGGGTTCCGAGCCTCGCAGGCGGAAGTCCCAAAGGGTTTGACGACTTTTTTCGCCAATCGATTTGTAGGGATCGAGCCGGATCAGTCAAGATGCATGCAGATAGATCCAGGTACGTCCAGGTAAGTCCAGAGAGCTCCTGGGAAATTTGGAGCAAGTCGTGGCTGCTCTAGCGCGAGCCGAGGGACGGCAGCAGTCGTCAAGCCCTTCACGAGGGAGAGGCGCTGGAGCCGGGCCAGACCCGCCGGCTGCCCGCGCGCCTCGAGGGGGAGGCTCTCTTCGTCGGCCTCGCCCACGAGGCCTCGGCGACGGCCAGGGGCGCCTGCGTGCTCCTGGGGGAGGGCGGCGAGCTGCTCGCGAGGCTGGGGCCAGGTGCGCTGCTGGCCGTGCCGGGCGTCTCGCTGACCTACGCCGACGGGTGCGAGGTCTCGCCGTGGGGGGAGCGGGTCCTGAGGGAAACGGGTCCCGAGGTTTTTGGGCGTTTTCGGGCTGGCGGGGCCCTCCACGGGTCCTGGGACTGGTCCGGACACGATTCAGGATGAAGAGCTCGTCCTGGGGGAAAGCCCCGGGGTCCAGGACCCGTTTCCCTCAGGACCCGCTTCCCCCATGCTGAGAGGTCTTCGAGGTCAGGCTCAGCAGCCTGGCCGAGTGCGTTCGCAGGGTGGTGTTTGCGGCGGCGCCGGAGGATCGGCTCTACGTTCGAGTGGCCTCTCGCCGGAGTGACCTCTGGTGCTGGCACATCGGGGCCTCCAGATGGCCGAACACGGTGCGACAGCAGCGGCCTGCTCGCTCCGATTCGGCCTCCCCGCGGACCGCGAAAGTCGCGCACCACAGGTCGCGCTCGCCTGGGGTCACTCTTGCGTGCAGCCGAGAGGAGGGAGGAGACATGGCCTCGCCCTGCGAGGCCTTCGTCGCGCTGGCCGGGCCCGAGGCCGCGCCGCAAGAGGTCGGCGTCACCCCAACGTACTAATACTACGTGTGCGTCGCCCGCAGAAGGGGCGACGCGCGCGCCAAGACATCTTGTAGTATAGGTTCCGTGGCAGGCGCTTTCTGCCCACACCGCTCGGGAAACGATCTGTATACTGCAAGAGGGTTGTACTATGTGCTCGGGTCGGACGCACGCCTCCAAGGAGTACGCACAGTACCCAGACCCCCGACGTCGTAATCTTTTCACAACGTGCACCCCCAGAGGTCCGGACCTTTCCCCTGGGACCGGTTTCTCATCTTGAGTCGTTCTTTGACGCTCCCGAGGCCCGGGAAAGGCCCCCCGGAGGCCGAGAATAGCGAAGCATCTCCCGTCGTGATTTGCTTCGCGACGCGAGGGGGTCTGGGCTGCCAGTATGTCCCTGTGCGTCCCACGAGGCCGCGCCGCAGGAGGCCCGCCCGGCTGCTGGCGGCTGCGCGGCCCCCCGGTGCGCGCCGGAGGTGGAAGCCACCTCCGGGCCGCCGCGGCGCCTGCAGCAGCTCGCGCGGATGCGGCTGTGGCTGGCGCCCGGCGGCCATGCGGCACACTTCGTCCTGAGCGCGCGCAGCGTCGCGGGCGCTCGGGAGGAGCAAAACGGACGCAGGCACGGATCTAAGCGTCGGCCTCGAGGAGCACAAGGGGAAGCTAATGATGGGGAGTGGAGGGGAAGACGAGAAGCTCAGTGCACACATATATTTATAGTTATGCATATATATATATATATATATATATACACACTGTTTTATACAGATGCGCAATTTATATAAGCATACATCTATAGCTACATCAAGACTGCAAATGTACAGCCAAACAGTTTCATGGGTATACACATACACCGATACACATGTATGTATGTCTGTCTGTCTGTCTGTCTGTATGTATGTATGTATGTATGCATGCATGTATGTATGTATGTATGTATGTATGTATGTTTGTATGTATGCTTGTATGTATATTTGTATATGTATTTATATATATATATATATGTATATGTACATATATATATAGTGCTGGCCACTGGCCAGGGCCGCCGATTTGGGGCGTTCAGGATAATGGTGATAATGATGCTGAAGATGCTGCTGCTGCTGCTGCTGATGATGA